GCCTGCTTCTCCTTCTCCCTCTCCCACTCCCTCTGCTTGTGCTCCCTCTCTCGCTATGTCTCTGTCAAATAAATAAATAAAATCTTTAAAAAAAAGGAGCCCTCTACATTGAAGACATTTTCACACTTACAGCCTATCTTTCACTATAACTAAAACATTAATTTTCAAAAAACTCAATTCTATGTATTACAATGTACACTGATCTATTTCACATGAGAACAGGAAATGTAAACCTACAAAATGACGGAATGTGTACGCAGAGTCAGGAACTACTCACTCATGTTCAAGGCCGCCATCCCCCCTTGCGGAGCTGCGGGATAGACGTTTGGTACGTTCGCAGTCATGAAATCTGCAATTTGCTGTAGCGCCAACAGGCCTGTGGGGTTCTTCCCCTTCTTAAATTGTTCCTGTATCATCGATTCCAACTCTTCACAGAAAGCCTAATAAAAGGCAAATTAAAACAGTGAGATGCTATCCACGCCTTGGGAAGACAGAGGTAACTATCACACAGACTGCTTTTTTGTTTGTTTTCATCCAGGGCTAGAACAGTAAATGGATATTCTCATATATTACTACTTGGAGCATCAATTGCTACATTATTTCTAGAAAAGTAAACAATATGAACGCTTAAAAATCTGAACACTCATTCTATCGCTAATAATCTTTTCGAAAGAAATAATCAGGGATATGCTAAAAGATGAATTCATATGGATGTTCATTCCAGAAGGACTGACAAAAAGGTAAGCAGGTAACAGTCGACATATGAAACTGTAGAAAACTGGTTACACACACACAAATCCACCTTACGATGGAATTCTATGCACACGGTCAACATGAAAGGCTTAGAAAAATTAAATGACATAAAATTGCCCTTGATATATTTTTTATTGTGAAATGGTTGTAAATCAACAGAATCAGTGTTTTGTAAGAGTGAATACGTATCTAAACATAGAAGACTAAAGTAAATACATCCAAATGTTCACTATAATTATCTTAGTGATGGAATTATTAGCAATTTTCATGTTCTACTTTGTACTTCTCAGTATTTTCTTCAAAATGGTTTTTTTAAAATAGATTCTCTTAGTTACTTTTTAAAAGTTGAAAAAGAGATCCTAAAACAATCCTTTATCAAATAATCCTAATTTTTTTAAAAAGATCCTAAATTAGGCAAAAGGATTAAGTTGGGTTGATGGTGATTTAATATAAAGTCACTACTGAAACAATACAGGTTAATTTATAGCTTTGCTTTCCCAAACCGCATTGAAGTAATTTTTCACATATCCTATAAAGAAATATCTTATCAAATACTATTTAACATGAAAATGTGAGCTCACTGAATGAACATCCACATCTGATTATAAACACTCTGAGGGTTTCTGGATGATTCTATATTAAACTTCTAGCTTTTCACTGCTTGAATGAAAAGCTGAAGAGATATAATGCCCAGGGACAGTCTGAGCATAGCTATCACTTGCAGGAAGCAAGCAACACATGTATGACATTTAATACAATGGTATAAAACAATGTAAGGAACCAAGAGCTGCCGGAGGAACCCCTGTTTACCATATGACAAATGATGTCACAAATCATATTCTGTGGGAGTGAAGGAGGGAGGAGAAAGCTGACGGGCTTTGACTGCCAAGAAGAAATCAATCGGGCGCCTGGTTGGCTCAGTCGTTGAGCGTCTGCCTTCGGCTCAGGTCATGATCCC